TCGACTCCATTTGGTTTGATAAATGTGTGTTGGCTTGTTCTTGTGTTTTTCATTTTTTAAATGATTCTTTGGAGATGTAGACATGTTAGTTTAGAGAGATGATTTTGATTTTGATAAATGACGGTGATAGTATTATTATCGGTCGTTGTTTATGATTCATTAACGAAACAACTACGTAAGACATTCCTTAAGCAAAATAGACCCTGTTGGAATGGGCTTTTTAAGTGACTGAAAAAGATTGACAGCTCCGCTATGTATTTCTTTTTATATGCTCCTGCATTAATGCATTTATGACTGGCAAACTGAATTATTATTTTAATGGCGTCTTGATGTGCTTCTATATATATACATTTCTAACTTACAGGGTCAGCATGACGAATTAGAGGCAAAGTTTTTGGAGGAAAGAGCAGCTCTTGAAGCCAAATATCAAAAGTTATATCAACCTCTATATGCAAAGGTATTGAACTTGCCTCTGTTTCTCTGGGAATGTGAAGCGGGCCAGTCAATCTCAGTTGGAAGTTAGGGTCCTTTGGCTTTTGCCTTTCTTGTGCTAGTGTTATTAAATTATTGCCCTCTCTTACCTCAGTCCCTCTTTGCAAATTCTAATTGTGGCTAACATTTGCAGCGATATGATATTGTGAATGGCGTTGTTGAGGTGGAAGGAACTCCAAATGAATCAGAAATGGACCAAGGAGAGGATGCAGCAACTGAAGGTAATTGCTGAAGTGCCAACCCTCGCAGATTTCTGTATTGTGATTTTTTGCTAGTATTTATGCTGTCAAATTTTAATGCAGAAAAAGGTGTACCGGATTTCTGGCTTATCGCAATGAAAAATAATGAAGTCCTTTCTGATGAGGTTGGTTGTCCTCATCCAAGTACGATCCATTTGGTATATTTGGTGCTCTATTTGTAGATATAAAACGGTGACTTGTCCCCTTTTTTGAAAATCAGATTACTGAGCGTGATGAAGGTGCACTCCATTACCTCAAGGATATCAAGTGGTGCAGGATTGAGAACCCCAAGGGTTTTAAGCTTGAATTTTTCTTTGATAACAATCCATATTTCAAGAACTCTGTCTTGACAAAGACATATCACATGATTGATGAGGACGAGCCAATCCTTGAGAAGGCTATAGGGTAACTTGTTGTCCAACTTCTCTGATACAATGCTGAATGCTGTATCTTGTTTCTTATGCAATTATGTTATTTTAGGTAAGGCCTAGGAACTATTTCATTAAGCTATAAAATTTAATTGGTGCCTCTCTTTGCCTTGTTAGGACGGAGATTGAGTGGTATCCAGGAAAATGTTTGACACAGAAGATTCTTAAGAAAAAGCCTAAGAAGGGATCAAAGAATGCCAAGCCTATCACCAAAACCGAAGACTGTGAAAGCTTTTTCAATTTTTTCAGCCCACCGCAAGTTCCTGATGAGGATGAAGATATTGATGAAGAGACTGTATGAGTTTCATCATTTAATTACATGATCGCTCATGATTGATCATTTTTCTCTGTTTAATTATGTTTTTTCATTTTCTTATGAAGGCTGAGGAGCTGCAAAATCAAATGGAGCAAGATTATGACATTGGGTATGCTTACTATTGTTTTTAAAATTTTGATTTTTACCCGAAATCTTTGGGCCCTAATTTTTTTGTTGTAAGTGTGGCTACCTGTATGATATGCTTAGGCCCACAGAATAATCTAACTGTAATTTCTTCATCATTTACTTCCTCTAGGTCTACGATTTCGAGACAAAATTATCCCTCATGCTGTTTCATGGTTTACTGGTGAGGCTATTCAGGGCGATGAACTTGAAATAAAAGATGATGATGAAGACGAGGATATTTGGTGATGATGATGA